CAAATAAAAAAAGAAAGTGTGCACTGCATGTCCATGCTATGGGGCCCTGAGTGAGTTGGATGAGGCCCTCAAGTCGTGGTGAAAAGCATGTCTTCTCTCCCCACTGCCAGAACGCCACCAAGCCGCCTTGTGTTCAAGGGCCTTAGGTGCACAGAAATTGAACCCCTTGAAATCAAAGAACCCTTGACCGTCTTTGTGTGCTTTGGAAAAATGTAGGGGAATAAAAAGAACGCGTCTCAGCACTTGACCAGCTTCCGAGACCCGGTTCTGTCCAAGAACACTTATGTCAACCCAAAATGAATAAATCTCTGGTTCATTTATTGGGGGTACATGGGGGTACCAATTCTTGTAGTGGTGTGGATGGTTATTTTGCAGGTAAACTCCCCAATTAACAATCAGGGTTCATGGATCCGGCATATCCCAAATAGGGTTGTACCCAAATTCATAAGCCCCAATTAACAATCAGGTCATTAGGTTTACATTAGGTTTACCGCATTCATCCAGAGTCCAAGCTGTCCAAGCTGTCCAAGCTCAATTTCGCCCCGGCACACGCTGCCCGCACCGTTCTCAGGGGACATGGTCATAATCTTCGGCGGCAACGAGTCCTGTCGTGCTCCCCGGTCACGGCGGACACGGCAACAGCATGCAAGACCGGGTCCCTTCACTCGATGTTCATAGATTTAATGTCTGAATGTCCCAGAAATATGTGTAAAAAAACTATATAGGGGATTCCAGGGGTATGGTGAAAAATCTTGAAACCTTAAACCAAACTTGGATTGAATCTTCTGCGCCGAAAACCCACCCAGCTACACGTGCTACACAACCATTGTCCTTGAGCTTGAAGAAGTAAGAACCAAAGTCCACAGGTTGCGATGGTAGACCATCAGCTAAGCTATGCACCACACCACTGCTCAAGACTAAGGTACACCTCGGTGATCGGCTGCTCATCATGCCCCCCCCCCCTCCACGTCTGCTTGGAAGATCCCTTCAAAAAGCAAGAGTTGGATCAATGTGTCCTTTCAAAACTCGAAAGATTATTAACAGCAAGTATTAACCTCCATTCACCATCATTTCATCCATCCCCTCAAAAAAAAGAATGAAGACTAGTTATACATACTTATACTAATTACACACCAGTTCCATACCAGTTACATACCAGTTACATACCATATACCGCTCCCATTATCCAACCCCCAGGTGCACCGCCCAGCTGAGAGACTCCGTGGGTTCCACGACCTCCACCGTGCCGGAGGCCAGGTACAACGTATTGTCTTGCACCGAAAAGGCATCCGCTGGGACCTGGGCCACGAGTTTCTCCAAGGGAATTGAAGGGATTTTAGATTATTTTCTGCTGATGTGACGAAATTCATGGCGAATATTAATGGGAAAGTGATCAACCATCAACTTTTCAGGTAGCCGATTTTTGGACAAATCCTGCCATGTCATGTCTATCGAATGGGCAATGAAGTGATTAGTGCTCACTCGGTCAAACCACATCACTGCTGCTGGAGCACCACATACTCCAAAAGAGTCAAGGAGTTCCTGAGCGCAGAATTGCCCCCCTTGGAGCCCCAAACAGGGCCGGGAAGGGCCTGGATTCCCAACAAGAAATGGTGAACTTCCTCCGGTTTGCTCGGAATTGACCATCTCAATCTGCATCCTCAAAATATATACTGTATAAACATATATATATGAATATAATTGAATATATATATATATATGACTATATATATATGCATATATCAAACACGTGCACCTTGAACAAATCCCTTTTGGAGAGTCCCCCCAGTTGACAAATCCAAAACGAAACTCAGTGCCGTCCAGGGACGTGAGAGGCTGCCGGCCATCTGTGCCACACATGAAGCGCGCGGCCCCGCGCGCAGCGATGCCCGGGAGTTGCAGGGCCATATTGAAGTTCACCTCCTTAGATTGTCTGAGATTGAAAAGATGTCAGCAGCAATTGCCTCCACTTCAAAGATAGGATATAGATGGATATAGGATTTTTCGGATAGGCAGTATAGGATATAAATGCATGGATATAAGATTAATGTAAATAGATGTTTCAGGTAATGATGGAATTGGGAGTGATTTCTGGCACTCCACCACGTATTGCCAAATTCCGAAATAAGTTGAAAAGAAAAATCATTTATCCTGTTAGACCGTCAGACCTTCGTGGAATAGATGTGACCGCTAACATGTGTGGACAAAATGATCAAATCCCATGGAGAAGGTAGGCAACGCAGGATCATGACTTGAGTTGATTTCTTCACAAATGCTGATTTACTTTCCCAGCTTGTTGTATCATGATGGGTCGCGCAAGCCCTTCATAAGCAACGAGACTAAAAAGGTCAACAAGCACGGAAAGCAGCATGGTCCTCATGGTTCGGCCTCCTGAATTTCATCAACATCATCCAAAACCTAAGAATTCATCAACATCAAAAACATTAAAACCAAATCCTCAGACCGGGGGCCAGACTTCTCGGCCAGGCACAATCATTGACTTGGGCCCTGTGCGCGTCAGCGGGAAGATCTGCTTGGGCCAAAAGTCCCAGGCCTTCGGGCGCAGTGCCTGGCACTTGTCCTGGCGGGATCATTGGGATATGAGAAAGTTTGGAAAACGATGTTGGAATAGACCAGGTAGACTGCAAGTATGGCCAAGTCAGCCATTTCCAGCTCGTGAATTAATCTGATGGAAAAAAATCCCATGGTATTTGGTATCGATACATTGCTGATTTTGTCCTCACTGAAATGGGGGATGTTGCTTTGCTGTGTTGGAGTACCAGAGGAGTTTACCAGCTGCACCTGCAAGGCACAAGCGCTGCACGGCACGTTGTCGCCCGCACTCGCTGCACCGTCCATGCACTGTCCCATACTTAGCACAGGGTGGCAACAAGAAGGCGGATGGGTCAGGTGCTGAGATTGGATGATTTATATTGATTTATGATGTGGTTAATTCATGTTAATTCCATCTCCAATCCCACTGTGATACTACAGTACCTGGTGTGATTTCCCGTCAACATCCCACAGTTCATCTCCGGCAGCTCATCTCCACTCTTGCCCCGTTACAAGAGGGCTCAAAGCAAACATAGTGGCCCCACCTGTGGTCGAAACATCTCATATTGGGTATGGCCAACCCGTTACTTTCCCATCCCATCTTCCAGGCTCAGGCACCCCATCCACATCCGCCAAGCGGCTCCGCATCCCAATGGCAGGTGGTACTACTAGCCAGTGAGGCGCATTGACAGGGGAACGAAGCTGAGCTGCAGCTGGGGGGGCAACCCGGCTGCTGGGCGCAGTGGTTGCATGTCACGCGTTGAGCTGTGTCGCCTGGCTGGAAATGGAAATCCCCCGTTTTGGAGAGGCAAACCATCTGCAAGCGGAGGATTGCTGCCTTTGTCTTCCAGCAGGTATACCGCGCCCATACATCTGATACAGTACTTCATATATAATCATACATCATCACAATGGGGTCCCCGGAAAAAGGAAAGCGTGGAAGTGTCAAAATAGACAGTGGCCCAGCCCATACTGACGCAAGAGTAGAGAGGCTTGCCTGGAACCCCCAAATTCTCAGACAAACCCAAATTCCAAATATCACAGTGACGGAAGAGTTCGTTCTGACATTGTTTGAGGCTTGCCCAATTCAAGCTTGACACTGCTTTGTACATCTCACTGGATTGGCCTGGGGCACTTTGAAATGGAACGCTGCTTACGCTGCTTCAAGTTCGGGAAATAGCAAAGCATTTCTAGGAACTGCTTCATCAAACATTGCAAATCATCCCATAAATGTAAATCAATGCATCAGATATCAGTAAATATATGTCTATATCAGTAATATCATAGATACTGCATCCATCCGCATCCTGTATCCGCTGGGGTTTCTTTCCATTGATTCCGGTGTCCACTTCACCCGAGGTGCCACTATCCAAGGTCTTGCAGTGAAAGGTGATACCATCCTGGCATAAGACTGGAGGTTTCGCAAATTTGGAGCCATTCAGATCAAATTCAGAACCACCCAGCCACCCAGTCGTTCTCCCCATGGAAATCAGTTGCAACCCAGTTTCCCCATGTCAGTGAGAAAATGAGTTGCAGTGGGTCTCACTAAGCTGATCAGTTGTAACCCTTGGCATCAACTTCGCTGTGAGAAATGTGCACCCTGTCCCGACCTCACGGCGTCTCCAGCCACAACTTTGCATCGAAGAGCAGAAACAAGGTGAATTGGCCACCAGACACTTGTCATCAAACTGTCCCCTCGGCACGGCAACCAATGCGACCAATATCAGATCACTCACCGCCGCAATTCCAATGCAAGGAGCCCCAATCCAACTGTCAAGAAACTCCAAAACAGATCTGTTGGATAGGGGGTGTCTTCCAAAACGTGGAATCCCAAATTTTCCCAACGCTGCCCCGTGGCATCACGGTGTTGCCGTTGCCGGTGGAATAGCCCAACGGGAAGCCCACGGCGGTGGCCGGTTCCGTGATGCTGGGCTCGAAATAGACCTAGATGGGCTAGGCTCAGGTGGGAAATGGGCTGATGGTTTGTCACAAAAGAAAAAGGTAATACCCGAAATGCCGGAATACCGTATAATTTATGATGATTTCTGGCAACTTTAATGAACATGTTAAAATGATGATCAGATTGGCAAATTCCTGAAATTTAGGGATGCCCTGTGTTCAAACCGTAGCTAGAGAACTCAAGTTTTTGCTGGGGGCCATCACTGTAGCAATCAATGGGAGCCACGCTAGCGAAAAGGATCCCAACTTTCAGATTGTTTGGAGGTAAGTAGGATGGGGATGAAACATCAATCAGATCATGGATATAACTGATATAACCATACAACTACTAGAACAACAAAGCATGGCTAGGTCAGAACATTGGGGAGTCCGTTGGAAGGCCGTGACCGGGACGTGGCTTACAAGAAATTCAATGCGGTTTTGATGTTTGCTGATACGAAAGCCGAACACCTTGGAATTGGGTGATCAGTCTGCAAGTCATATCCACTGAAGTAGTTCAGCAGTTGAAGTACCCCAAGTGTTGCCATGTGAAGGTGCCGGCATTTTTCCACTGCAGTTAGCAGAGCTCTAATGTACTGTGGAAGCCCGTCAAGTCGAGGTGCATGACCAACATCACACTGGGCTAAGACCCTGTCGAAATCAATGCCAACTAGGACATTGATAAGAGGGAAATGCCAGTGGAAAAATAAGTACATTAAATGTCATTTAAAATTCCTAACATGCACTGCCCGCTTCTTTGGTAGAAACTTATGAAGAATAATTGTTTTTGCTTCGGCAGTGATTCAAGCAAGACAGTCCCGGCACACATGCTGCTGGCCATTTGGCAGCGCACTCTGCTTGGACTTCGGGAATCAACAAGTTTTAAAAACATCATCTCCACAATGACAACTGATGGGTCCCTTCCAGCTACCACCAAAGCAAATCAACTGGTGCTGGGTGCGTATCATGACCCGTTCGGGGCGTCAGTGTGCAGGGTGTGCGCAAAGTTCAGGACCGACTTGCTCTCCTTCTGCGATTTCCCTCCAGCACTTGGATGACCTGCAAGTCTGACTGCGGAAGAAAATGTTGGATTGATCCTGTATCATTTCCTCCATGAAGTAATCCATCAAGCAATGTTACAAAAAAGAAACACCTATAACATATGTATGTATATATACATATAATATCATATAATCATACACTGTATCTATGTATGTATGTATGTAGGTAGGTAGGTAGGTAGGTATGTATGTATGTAGGTATGTAGGTACGTAGGTACGTACGTACGTACGTACGTAGGTAGGTAGGTAGGTATGTATGTAGGTATGTAGGTATGTATGTAGGTATGTAGGTATGTAGGTATGTAGGTATGTAGGTATGTAGGTATGTATGTAGGTATGTAGGTATGTAGGTATGTAGGTATGTAGGTATGTAGGTATGTAGGTATGTAGGTATGTAGGTATGTAGGTATGTAGGTATGTAGGTATGTAGGTATGTAGGTATGTAGGTATGTAGGTATGTAGGTATGTAGATATGTAGGTATGTAGGTATGTAGGTATGTAGGTATGTAGGTATGTAGGTAGGTAGGTAGGTATGTAGGTATGTAGGTATGTAGGTATGTAGGTATCTAGGTATCTATGTATCTATGTATCTATGTATCTATGTATCTATGTATCTATGTATCTATGTATCTATGTATCTATGTATCTATGTATCTATGTATCTATGTATGTCTGTATGTATGTATGTATGTATGTATTTAGGTGTGTATGTATGTATGTATGTATGTATGTATGTAGGTAGGTAGGTAGGTAGGTAGGTAGGGATTTATGGATGGATGGATGGGTAGATGGATGGATGGATGCATGGATGGATGGATCTGTCTGTCCGTCTGTTTGTCTGTCTGTCTGTCTGTCTGTCTATCTATCTGTCTATTTGTCTATCTGTCTATCCATCCATCCATCGATCCATCCATCCATCCATCCATCTACGTGCCTACGTGTCTACGTGTCTACGTATCTATGTATCTATGTATCTATGTATGTAGGTCTGTATGTCTATACGTCTGTATGTCTGTATGCCTGTATGCCTGTACGTCTGTCTGTAGGTTTGTAGGTCTGTATCATATGTACACCTGATCCGCACAGCCCAACGGCCTGGAGATGTGAACCGTAGACATCAGCACTCCTCGCCAATTGCAAGGCACTTCGTCCCTTGGAGGTCAATTGATCCTTGTCGGCCCCAGCCCGCAGCAGCGAAGACACAACTTCCGCGTTCCCCTGCTTGGCCTCAGTGCAGATCATTGGGGTGACCACAAAGATCAAGGAAGGTCCATCCATCCGCCCGCCCACGCATCCATCCATCCATATAACAAAAATGATAATAACCAAGATAAAATCACCATCATCATCATCATCATCATCATCATCAATATATGTATATATATATATATCAAAATAGTATGCATTGTACTGTTACATGGATTCCGTTCGTTGTGATCGTTGTGAGGGGCCCCTTGTAAGTCCATTCACAAGAGTCCCCAAGGACGGCATCAGTTTCAATCGCTGGCGAGTCACTGCGAGGTGTACTGGGTAGAGCTGTTCTCTCTGTGCCACAAAGCAGCAGCCGCTACCTCCGAAGGCAACAGGAGAATGGAATGGCGATTTGAGAAGGAAGAAAAGGATGTAGTGTGATTCAACCACCAATTTGTCGTCAAAAAAGAGAATTGATCACATCAAGAACAGGTTGTTCCCTTCGCAGGACCAGGAACAAGGCTTTCAGCCAATGCAACCTTGCCTTTTTTATGATCCCTGTGGGGTACAAAAAAGAAAGCAAAGCTACACTAGTTGAAACACCAAGAAACGGGGCTGTTGAGGTTCGTTCACATCCTCAAACTTGTGCATCTGGAGGAATTGTTTCCTGAGTTCGAACAAGTTGGATGGAAACCACATGACCTGGGTCACTGCGCCAACCACCTTCAATCAACTCTTCTACCTCAGATGTTTTCCAGTTTCTTTTTAACAGGACCATCAAATCCAGGTCATTTTTTTCGTCTCCAAAAGTGCCACCTCCGGACCACCTGCCTTTGAATCTTGCCAAGAAGCATCCCCAGAACCTTCCGTTGCTCCTTGGCCTTTCGCTTGAGGCTGCCCTGTGTTGGCACTGGGTCTGTCTCATCTGGTTCCTCCACAGCTGGCATCGGCACATTGGCATACCGTTCGGTAACCATGGCCCGAAAAAGGTCGAGGATCACCAGGGCCCCATTCACCAACTACGCCCGGGGGGGCCCCGGGAAGCACACACGCTTTGCGTGGCCTAGTCTCCATAAGCTGCGGAGCATGCAAGGGACAAAGACACTAGGGCAAGAGAAGACAAATTTACTTCTTTGATAAGTAAAGCAACACGAAACAATCACAATCACAATACCCAAGTCTCCACATCCTAGCCCAAGGCCTTTAGTGGGAAATCGTCACTTGTTTCCCTGCAACTGCAGTTCCATCGAAGTGATGTTTTGCGTGACTCCAGTGGCCCCGCCCCGTGGCACCTCCCAACCACCCGCATAGGTGGAACAAACAGTGGCAGCATTCAGCTCGGTCAAGGAGTTGGCGTTCCTGTCCGCAGCGCCACTTTTGGATCAACCCGCGGGAACCGGATTTTTCCCGAATGGGTAGCAAGGGTTCCCGTTTCACTCTGGGGGTCTGGGGGTTGAGGGTGTGTTCGCTCGACGTTGCGTTCACGGTCGCAACCGTTCGCAACCGTCCGCAACCGTTCGCGCGAACTCCGTATGGCCGTGCCTATGGGAAGTTTTGCAGAGGTGGTCCTTTTTGGAGGTTTCAGACGTCTGGTTGCTTCGTTTCGCGTGGCAGGCATGGCACTTCGTGACATTCAGACGTGTTCTGCAACGTGTCGAAAGTCGTTTCGCGTGGCAGGCGCAATACTGTTGCGACGTTTTCAGAAGATGTGTTGCAGTTTTCGTGGCAGGTGCAGCACTTTGGGCGTGTCCATCGTCATTTTTCGTGGCAGGCGCAGCACTTTAGACGTGTCCTTTTGCGTGTTTTTTGTAAATCGCATTGGCAGGGCTGCGTCAAGTGGCGACAAGGTGCAAATTCCGTGGCAGGCGTGGCATTTTGTGACATGTGCTGAAAATTGACGGAAGCCTCGCACGAAACATTGATTTTGAAGTTGCAAATTTTCAGGTTCTAAGGAAAACTCGTAGGAAAACGTCGATTTTGAAGCTGCAAAGTGTCAAAATTGGAGGAAGTCTCGTACGAAATGCTCGTTTTGGTGCTCCCACGTGTCTCGTCTCGAGTCTCTGGTTTTCCCGTGGCTTCGCCGTGTCTATGGGGGAAGCTGCAAAACCTGTCCTTTTGTTATGTTGCCAACTGTGAAAATCGCCGGAAGTCTCGTACGAAATGATCGTTTTGGTGCTCCCACGTGTCTCGTCTCGAGTCTCTGGTTTTCCTGTGGCTTCGCCGTGTCTATGGGGGAAGCCGCAAAACCTCTCCTTTTCGAAGGTTTCCAAGGAAGTTGTCATGTCGTTTTGCGTGGCAGGTGTGGCACTTTGTGACATTCCAACCTGTTTGATAATGTGTCAAAAATGTCAAAATTGGAGGAAGTCTCGTACGAAATTCTGGTTTTTCTGCATCCACGTGTCTTGTCTCGAGTCGCTGGTTTTCCTGTGGCGTCGCCGTGTCTATGGGGGAAGCTGCAAAACCTCTCCTTTTCGAAGGTTTCCAAGCAGGTTGTCATGCCGTTTTGCGTGGCAGGCGTGGCACTTTGTGACATTCCAACCTGTTTGATAACATGTGGAAAATGTCAAAATTGGAGGAAGTCTCGCACGAAATGCTGGTTTTTCTGCACCCACGTGTCTCGTCTCGAGTCTCTCGTTTTCCTGTGGCGTCGCCGTGTCTATGGGGGAAGCTGCAAAACCTCTCCTTTTCGAAGGTTTCCAAGCAGGTTGTCATGCCGTTTTGCGTGGCAGGCGTGGCACTTTGTGACATTCCAACCTGTTTGATAACATGTGGAAAATGTCAAAATTGGAGGAAGTCTCGCACGAAATGCTGGTTTTTCTGCACCCACGTGTCTCGTCTCGAGTCTCTCGTTTTCCTGTGGTGTCGCCGTGTCTATGGGGGAAGCTTCGCACTCCACACTCTACACTCCACACTACACAATTTACACTTTAGACTCCACACTCTACACTTTACACTCCACACTTTACACTTTGCACTTTACACTCCTCACTTGAGACCTTACACTCCACACTCCACACTCCACACTTTACACTCCACATTCCTCACTCTACACTTTACACTCCACGCTCTACACTTTACACTCTACACTCCACACTCTACACTTTACACTCTGAACTATACACTCCACACTCCACACTCCACACTCTACACTTTACACACTCCATACTCCTCACTCCTCACTCCACACTCCACACTCTACACTCCACACTCCTCACTTTACACTCCACACTCCACACTCTACACTTTCCACTCCACACTCCACACTCCACACTCCACACTTTACACTCCACACTCTACACTTTACACACTCCTCACTTTACACTCCACACTCCACACTCTACACTTTCCACTCCACACTCCACACTCCACACTCCACACTTTACACTCTACACTCATCACTTCACACTCCACACTTTACAATCCACAGTCCTCACTTTACACTCCACACTTCGCACTCTACACTTTCCACTCCACACTCCACACTCCCCACTCCACACTTTAGACTCCAAACTCCTCACTCCACACTCTACACTTTACACTCTACACTCCACACACTGCACTTTACACTCTACAGTTTACACTCTACACTCCACAATCCACACTTTGCACTCTACACACCACACTTTACATTTTACACTCCACACTCTACACTCCACACTCTACACTTTCCACTCCACACTCCACACTCCAAACTCTAGACTCTACACTTTACACTCCACACTTGACACTTTACAGTCCACACTCCTCACTCCACACTCTACACTCCACACTCCTCACTTTACACTCCACACTCCACACTCTACACTTTCCACTCCACACACCACACTTTACACTCCACACTTTACACTTTCCACTTTACACTCCTCACTCCACACTCCACACTTTACACTCCACACTCCTCACTTTACACTCCACACTTCACACTCCACACTTTCCACTCCGCACTCCACTCTTTACACTCCACGCTTCACACTTTACACTCCTCACTCCACACTCTACACTTTACACTCTACACTCCACACTATACACTTTACACTCTACGCTTTACACTCGACACTCCACACTTTACATTTTACACTCCACACTCTACACTCCACACTCTACACTTTACACTCCACACTCCACACTTTACACTTTACACTCCACACTTTACACTTTACACTCCACACTCCTCACTCCACACTCTAGACTCCACACTTCTCACTTTACACTCCACATTCTACACTTTCCACTCCACACTCCACACTCCAAACTTTACACTCCACACTGTACACTCCTTACTCCACACTACACTCCACACTCCTCACTTTACACTCCACACTTTACACTTTACACTCCTCACTTCACATTTCCACACTCTACACTCCACCTTCCTCACTTTACACTCCACACTTTCCACTCCGCACTCCGCACTCCACACTCCACGCTTTACACTCCGCACTTTACACTCCACACTCTACACTTTACACACTCCTCACTTTACACTCCTCACTCCACACTTCACATTCTACACTTTCCACTCCGCACTCCACACTCTACACTTTACACTCCACACTCCACACTTGACAGTCCTCACTCCACACTCTACACTTTACACTCCACACTCCACACTCTACACTTTACACTCTTCACTTTACACTTTTCACTCCACACTCCACAGTCTACACTTTACACTACACACTCCACACTTTACACTTTACACTCCTCACTCCACACTTTACACTCTACAATTTACAAACTCCACGCTCCCCACTGCACACTCCACACTTCACACTTTACACACTCTACACTCCCCACTCCACACTTTATACTTCGCACTCCTTACTTTACACTCCGCACTCCACACTCCACACTTTACACTCCACACTCTACACTTTCCACTCCACACTGCAGACTGGTAACAGGGGAAATATGAACAAGACTGTTCAAATAAACGATTGCAGGAAAGTGTTGTGCGTGACTGCATATCCATGTGTTTCCACATCTGTACCAGTAACATGCGTGTGAGCATTCGGGTTCGTGGGCTTCATCTTGTTTTTGTTGGTGCTCCATCCCCAGTCGGTCACTCAAAAACATCTTGAGGATTGTTGAGGTGGATACCGTGGATACCAGTACCATGGATACTTGGGCCCAGCCCAAACACCACACAAATGTCAACCGTCGCAAACATCCCAAAATAATCCAGCCAGATCGTGGGGCGTTCCCTATCTTATCTTACCACATTGTGTTTTTTTGGTGCTTGACAAATAACCACCGTCAATTTTTGTCGCCTCCAAACTGGCTCGGTCTGACAGGTGACGCGCCAAAGTCGCATGTACATGTCCTGTGAGGCAGAAGTCGCTTCCATCTGAGAGATCCCACGAATTGTTACCCTGTGGCCTTCTGGAACCTAACCTAGGTGGAAACTCCCCCAAAGGCTACGGTGATCGTGTTCCATCTAAAGTCAGTGGGGCTTTCCAATGCCGTGATAATTTCATCTCAGCCCATCTCATCTTTTCAGGGTTGGTTATCCGAAGGGTAACGGGAATATGAAGAACAGCTTGTGACAGCATGATCGGAGGGGCGCACAAGGCGTTTGATGACGCTTAGACTTTAAAAGAAAAAACATCTCTTGAACAAAACACCTGCCACCGCCGATTTCCCAACTTATGGCCAAGTGTCAGAAAACAAGGTGCCGAAACCCAAGATGTCCCTGGCACCACACAAAGTGCGCAGGTTCTTGCTATGCCATCAACTATGCCATCTATGCCATCAGTTATTCCAAGTGGATAACGCAACTGCGATGAAATTGAAATTGGCCCAGGCGCAACTCGTTTTGCATCATGTTTCGGAAGATCGGTTTCCTCGGTTCCAATTCCAATGTCTTACCAGAGATCCCTCATGCTAAATCCTTGCAATTTTTGCCACGTGCACAGCCATCTCCGTAATTGTGTAGTCACACAACCCAGCCTTAACTCTGAAAATGTTCAGATCCAACAGCTTCATACCATTCTTTCAGGGCGAAAGTGCATCACAAAACACATCCCATTTGGATCCATTTGTTTCAAAGACAACGCGGCCAGGAATCCGGGTAGGGCCCGTCACAGGGAAGGGCGGCTCATATCCCCCCGCCGAGGATTCAACCAGAGTTCGAGCGCAGTCACCCCCTGGGCAAAATGTTTGGGATATTGTCGTGATGTCAATGACAAGACAAAAATCAACCAAAATGAACTACCAAAGCCTTAAGGTAAATCAAACATCACTGCGATTTGTGCGAAATGTGGGTGCGTCGGTTGCGAGTGTCAGGAATGTGTAATCCCTAGCCCTAGCCTACTAGAGCATTGCTACCTGCTACCCATTATCCCCTACCTATCCCCAATCCGGTTGCATCATCATCCATCAGCGGGGCCGCTCCCACCTCCACCCAGTCGCGGAAGCACGAAGAATTTGATGTCTACGCCTGGAGATCCCCACCGTGGCATATCTCACATATATAAAATCTGGCATATTCTGACATACTATATGAATCTATATGACAGTTTAGCTATGTTTAGCTCATATATATTCTGCCATTCTATCTGACGTACATTCTGCCGTTCTATCTGGCATTCTATCTGACATCTTATCTAACATATTTTCTGACATACTATCTGGCATTCTATCCGGCATTCTATCTGGCATTTATTCTAATATTCTTTCTGGCATTCTCTCTGGCCTTTTGTCTCTTTTCATCTGGCATAGTCCCAGCGGGTCCGGGGCCCCCTGGACCCAACTGCTGGGGTTTGGTGGGGCCCAGAGAGCCGGCGAGCTCGCCACAGTGTTCAAGTCCGGCTGCGTAGAGGCTGGCGAGGAAGCTAGCATACTGGCGAGCAACGAGGGTGGGAAGGAAGGGAGGGGTGAACAAGGAAGAGCAACGGGGATGATCGGGATGTCTTGTGACAATCTCGAGACATCTCGAGACCCTTACCTGACAGGTGGTTCAAAGATGTTCAAAGCATAAAAAAAAATGGGAACAACTTTGGATATTTGGGAACCCCCGAAGCCCTTTGACTTCGCGACACAAAGTTGGACTTGCAGACTCATCAAGTTGAGGCTAGAAATGTACATCAACGTTGGTTTCTCTGGTTCCTCCCCAGTTTCACATCGCCGTCACTGGCCGTCACTAGCCGTCACTAGCCGATACCTCTACCCTGCCTCTCCGTGTGACCCAGGAGAGTTCCAACACGGCGTTGGCGATCACCTGGACACCAGGTTGATGTGACATGCTGCAGCTTGCCTTGCTGCAAGCTTGCCCCTGTTCAGAACACAGAGTTTTGGGGCACCAAACTTGGCCAAACTGGGGAAAAAACCGCACGGAATTCTCCCCTGAAACCATCACCAGCCATAGATCCCACCTTGGAGCCATGACCACAAGCTTGGACCAAGGCGTTCTGCGCCGCCCAATTCAACTTACCTCGCTGCATCCCAGGATATCCCAGGTATTGAATAGTCAATGACTGGGGTTACTGTAGCTGTTAGCTGAATCATCAGAATTACGGTCAATCGGTCAATGTGAATATTCTGATGAATGCTCAATAATGATTGTGAATAAGATTCAATAAGACCCTATTGAGTCCTCGAAGTGCTCAAACTGGAGTTTCTCACCAACACAACTGGGTCGGAACGGATTCGAACCATGGTTGTTGGGCACTAGGATGTATCCAATTGTTCATAGCTGCGCTGAACCTTGGGCAAGGTGCTAACAGTCTCTGGAGTGATTGTGCCGTTCAGGCTGATGGTTCCTGCGACTTCCACGGGGTACTGAGCACTTTGTCCAAGACCCTTTCTGTTGCGATATCCCGGGCAGATAAACCAAGAAGCTTTCTGGGAACTTTATCCATAGATCCCAAGCACAAATACACCAACTTCATCCAATGTCCACTTGTCTCGCCTTGGACGACCTCCTCATTGCTTTTCGTTCTGCCAACGAAGGTTGTGGAAAAATCCAAACGGTCTTCATCTGCATCCTCACGACACGCGCAGCGAAAATCAACTCAGGACCTCCTTATCCGTTGAAAGTTGGATTTCTGTCCCGAGGGGAGGAAGAATTGCGGTACGGCAGATGGGCTGTGTGGATTTTTTGCCTAAATCAAGACCTGTACGGAGTACTATAGCAAGTTGTAATTTACACCGCGAGATCAAGTTAGTTCACAAATCTGGTCATGTCCTCAACCATCCGAAAAAGGCTCTCGATGCGAAACACAAATGCTGGCATGTCTCAGTGGAGTTGCAGAAAGAATCTTGAAAAACTCATTTCGGATGCTGGCCAATCGCTGAGTAAAAAGGGCATGGACTACCTGATCATTCACTGATGAATGGTTTTAACACGTTTGATCTGTTTCATGCTCCTACACTGTAACCTTCGAGCTTCCAGAGCGGCTGTGTCGCGGTCCTGCGCCTGGATGAAGGCCCAAAAGGTCAAGAGCAGCGTCCAACGCATTCGCCACTCATCTACTGCATTCCCTACAGGCTCCTGCCGATTTCACCTACACAAGGTCTACAGACTGCGGGGTGAGGTCCGGCACAAACAACTAAGATTTACTAAGAGTCCCTTGGAGTTGTGGTTGGTCACACCCAAATCCACTCACTTTGAAAGGCACAGCGGATTGTGGGATATTTCTGTAAAAACACCTTCTTCACTACATTGCCATGACTGACAAGCTGGGTCCTCCACAATCCTCTACCACATCTTAGCCCTATGGTACTCCGGGACATATCAGCAGCAAGACACTTTTTCAAACCACCCTGCTGGCGGACAGCTTTGCTTCAAAGCAAACAAGTTGGCAGGCTTTCCAAGTCAGGCACAAAAACCATACTATTGATGTGCTGTGACAGCTGTGACATGTTCCCATCTACAGCAAGCAATGCTATGAAGTGATTTTGTCGTTGTTAAGAATTTTGCGTCAGAAAACCTAAATGATTTTGACTTCTTTGCCCTAGTAAACCTGGCAAAGAAACTCGGCGTGTCGTCGCGCATGTCGCGACCGACCTGCAAACCTCTCACGACACCTGTCTCTCACAGTGGGGAAAACCACCTAGCGGCCAGATGAACCAAGGCATCAGAAAACCTATGAAGCCACCTGAAACCTCAAACAAATCAGGAATTTGTGATTCTGTAACATCAAACGGAGGCTCCGGCCACTGGACACATGGCATGCGCCACTGGCATGCCACCCGCTGCAGCCCCATGCTCTGCATAGGGCTCGGCCTTTTGTGGCAAAAGGAGGCCCAGCTCAGGAATCACCCACCTTCAACTTGGGAACACCTAAAAAAAAGATCTTGCTGTCCATCCTGAATCTTTGGCCGTGCCACCCCATTTGCGTCTGAAAATTTGGTACAAGTTACCCCAAAAGTTACCATCAAATTTGGGGTACCAGTACCCTAGTCTCCAACATGTAGATTTGGGCTCCAAAAAGCACCCCCAAAGGTATCAACTGTTGCCGGAGAGCCACGTGTGCTCCATGGCCACCATAGTCCTCGTAGCCTTCGTGGCCATAGCCGCCCTCGGGGCCGTACTCGGGGCCATAGCCATAGTCAGCTTCCCCCTGAAGGCCCATGGGCCAGAGATTTGATATCGTGTTTGATTTGGGTGGACATCGGTCTTGCCACATTGTGTGTATCTTTGGGTGCTACAGATCTCCAGGAAAGCCCAGCTGCCTGGGGAGGTCCGTAGCCGTAGTGCTCATCAAACTCGTCACCCTGAGCAAGTCCAGCAAGGACAGTGGAGTTTTGAGGCACATTCACCCATTTTTCGGACATACTCCTAAGTGTAAACTGTGGAGTGGAGGATTTGGGATTGCCAAGGTTGCTACTGCGAGCCGTGGCCTATTGCTGGAGGTTACCATAATGGAAGACTTGACGAACCATGAGTGACACGCAAGTCATGACAGGACCGACATCCCCAAAAGAATCCCCCATCATCCCAACCATGGGCCCCGAGCGGGCCACTCTTCTCGGATCTTCTTCGCCTGATCATCATAAAATGTCTAGCTTCAATGAATGATGATATCAACTGCTCCCAAGAGCGTCCATTTGTCCATTCAAGAACTAAGCAGAAAATGGCAGAGTGGGCACCTGTAACATCCTGTAACCAAATACACAGTTTCGAAAAAGTTGGGAATCATCAGCCGACTGATGGGGGAGCTTTGTGCAACTTGCCTCCTCTTCAATGACTGCTTCATCCCCTGCTCCCGGCTCTTCCTGCAGAAGGGGCAGTGAATCTTAAGTGGCCAAGCTTCATTCTCTGACAGTCTCATCATCCTCTTCACCATCATCACCACCATCACCACCATCACCATCATCATGGCCACTAGCCCCACTCCCATTCCATTCCTCGTTTGCCGCACCTTCTCCCCATAGCCCGGCGGCCTCATTCTCCAGCCGTGCAATCTCCGCAGCGGTGCGTGCCTGGTCCAACTTATTGATCTCCACCTGCAGACGGTTCCCCACCAGGTTCCTTTGCTGTTTTACCCTGGCCATGGGATATGGGATGTCGACATTATTAGAATCATTTACACTTAATCTACGAATGATGGAGTTCAAATTGCCATGTCCAATCAACAAACATTGAAAAAACATTGGACTGTGGGACTCCAGTCTGTATCAACTGCCAAGCCTCTCTGGCCCTGCAAATCTCTCGCATCTCATCTTCCATCTCTGGAAGGTCCCTCAGCGAAGCAGCATTCACAGCACAGCATTCGTTGGGTGAACCGATCATGAAAAACAAACATTTACCATCTTCCAAAGAGTTTTACAATTCAAAAAGCCAAAGTCATGTGAAACCGTGGCTTCACAAAACCGAGTCCATTCCAATCATCCAACCATTGTTTTTTCGAAACATGTTTGACATCAACTGCAGGGCCCAAACGAGCCCTCGTCGTAAGCGGGCAACTTCGCCTGACTGGATCCGGGCACCAACTTGAACCAATCGAACACAGCGCCACGGCAGCCGTCCTGCAAGGTCTTGGACAAGATCTTCACCTTGTTGATGAGCTGCCTGCCACGTGTAACCAAATGTATATAAGATTATAATAGATTATATAAGCAACCCATCCGAGCCACGTCAACACCCCAGTACCATCCAGTAGCAATGTGAGTTCATGGCCCGAGGCTATGGCCTGAGACATGGATCATGTCGGTCATGTCATCCATCTTGCTGTTCAGGTCCAATTGTCCCACCCATGCAGCTTCCTCGCCTTGTCTTCTCTTTGGCCAACAGGTTCTGCCCTTCACTGTTCACCTTGGCCAGACTCTGGTGTCCCAATGAAGACCCCAAGTCAGCAAAGAATGGCCAGGCACAGATCCAACACCTTGTGTATTCAGATACCTACACTCACGTACATGTGTACATTTATTATGATACAATGACAGTAACATGTATGTATGTATGTATAATCTGAATATGTATTACATGCATATACAGCATATACACGTACACGTAAATGATCGTAAATGAATAAACCCTGTTCATATAGAATTGAAATATAGATACTGATACACATAGTGAGCTCCACGCAGTGCCACCATTCTGAGCATCCAAACCAACATCAGTGGTGGACCTTCTCCGCTTCCTTCTTCGAAAGCCGCCTGGTCGCCCCCTTCGTTCTCGTCGCTGTACGGTGCGGCCAGGGGGGCCTCCACCTCTTCCACCTTTCGCTGCCGACGAAATCCAGGTGGAAATCGGGGATGACTCGGCAATGGCAGCTATGAATCAGATATAACTGATATAATCAGCAACAATCGAAATTGAGGTCATGAAAAATCATGCAAAAGCACATGGCTTTGCCAGCTTCAAGTGCTTGAACGAGATCACAGATATTCACAGATCTTCACAGGCTCAATCCCTGATTTCATTCCCACTGGCACCTCTGGACCCTCAGCCTCAAAGCCATCCTCCGCTTCGGGCGGTGGCAGCCCACCACCTGCCTCCAGTGGTATGTTCTCAGGACCCTCCACAGATGGTAGCTCTTCGAAACCTGCGGAGCTACCGGAATGGGTGATTCGGAAACCACTACTAGTTTTGTTCGAGTATGGACAATACCTTGCAAGCTCTCAGACTCTTAAGTCCCAAATGTGTTTTCATCCAACCTTTCCTAAACTGGATTCACTGTGCCAATGCTATGACAGTTTCCCTTGCCTTCTTCGCCAGGTGCCATTGACATGGGCGCAGCGCTGTCGACGGGCTTTGCATCGGCAGCCTCCCCAGAACTTTGGTCGTAGCCCTGGTCGTAACCTGGCTGGCCATGATGGCCATGATGGCCATGGGCAGCCTGGGGCCCATGATGGCCATGATGGCCATGATGACCATGATGACCATGGCTCCACTGGTCATCATAGTACTCTTGATGGTGCTGGTCATCATAGTACTGCTCGTGTCCGTGGCTTCCAGGCTGGTGGAACTGGTCCTCGTAGTACTGCTCTTGGGAGCCATGCCCATGGCCACCAGCCATGAAGCTGCTCCTGGGGCCGAAACTCACCCCTGGAACAAAAAGTGGCGATGGAAGTCTTCTGCTCCTCTGACATCACATAGCCAAACACTAGATTCACTTGAGACTAGATGAACATGTGATTTTTCCCTTTCCACAAACATCCACACGGTCCCCACGAACTTCTTCACCTGAAATCGAAGCCGCTAGAGCGCAGCAACTCCCAGGTGGAACTGAGGTTCAGCACCTTGGCCGGGACCCACCGTGCATAACAAATCTGGGCTTGCCGCTAATATTTGGGTTCAAATGGTCTTCAAACATCAAGGGGATCATTATTGTATGAAAACCATTCCAATCTGCGCTTGTTTGTGCCAACTTCTCCCATATCCCACATGAAGATCCTCCTCAGGTTCCCCCACTTTCGGCATCTTACGCAGCGCAAAGTCTGGTGGAACACAACTCAGGCCATGTCCACTGGGAAAAAGACTGAGGATTCAATGGTTGACCTAAAATTTCTCTATATTTGTTTAGCCTACATCAACTAAATCCCAGTTTCTTGGAAGATGGAATCAAGTGACAAGAAAGACAATATGTGTGATTGGTGAACGTGTTTGGATGTGACCAAAAGTTTGAATCCAGGAAGCGGGTTCTCGAGGTCAGGAAATGACTAGAGACTGCCATTGCATGATATTTTTTGGACAGGGATAACTGGGGAACAATTTGTCTGCAAGCACTCATCTTCATTGAGCCACGTGCCAAAAGCAAGGAAGTTCTGAAATGTAAACGTTGCTTGGAAGACTTGATCCCATTCAAACATGGTCCTTCAAAAATTGATTCCACCTTGGTTTGCTCACAGGGGAAAGCACAAACTTCAGGCAACATGTTGAAAACTCTGGAACCAAATGATCCAAATACTCTTGTTAAGTCTCGGGTGCTCCATGGTGCTCTCCGGAAATCGCTCGCGATTTTCACATTCTGAGCAACTCCGAGGAACCGCCCACGGCTTGACAAGGCTTTGGTGTGGTGTCTGCCATGCCCCTCTCATTGGGATGTGGTGGTTCAGTACACGGCAGTTTTTGAAACATGGGGTGCTGGCCCAGGATGGCATTCTAGCCGGCTCGAAAGGTTTGAGGATGCTTGAGGTATTTAACCAGCCAAGTTTTAGAAACTGGAAACATCCGAGTGCCAGCGGTGATTTTTGAGTGGCCAGCTTTGATCAAGCCTGGGGTCGGCTCAAGGACAGACTATTCCTGCTCCTGAAAATGATTGGTGACGCGGGTGAAACTGCTTTTGTCGGAGAATTAGCAAGAAACCGTATTCTAAAACAAATGGCAAGTGCGACCCGATATCAAGGGGTTTTTTAATCTGTGTATATATATATATATTCTCACTACCACCCTACTAGCAAATCTAGCAAGGAAACTCGGAGTTTCAACCACACCACGGCACAAGTCTGGGCAATTGCGCAATTGCCCAGCGGATCTGGATCACCTCCTCATGATCACGTAGGTCATGACCAGCGCGCCAACCTCGGCAATCCGAAGTTTGCTGGTTTGTTTGGGTAAGGCGAAACATGGTATCTAGGGACCTCGCTCATTTACATACCCATGCTTGTGCCACTGTATACTTCCATGTTTGAAGGTCGCATCCCCATTATTGCAACCTCTACAGAATACGGACACATACATACCATTCGCACCCCCCTCATCACCAAATAAGTTCCACTGGTGGCAGAAACAAATAAACTCACGTGCTATCCCCAACAGCTTGAAAGCTTCTGCGTTTTTGCCATTAAAAAAGTGCTTATGCCATAAAAATTAAGCCCTTATGCCATGAAAATTAAGTGCTTATGCCATAAAAAACATCGGAACCCCTTGGAATTTCACAAAGCATCTGCACCAGAACCCTCCGGAACCTCACAAGGTATCTGCACCGGAACCCTCCGGAACCTCACCAAGCATCTTCTCCGCCAAAGCCCTCCGGAACCTCACAAAGTCTCTGCACCGGAACCTTCCGGAACCTCACAAGGTATCTGCCCGGAACCCTCCACAACCTCACCACGCATCTTCACTAAAGACCCTCCGGAACCCTCCGGAACCTCGTCAGGTAGTAGCTGCACCGGGAACTTCCGGAGCCTCACCAGGTACCTGCACCAAAACCCTCTAGAACCTAACCAAGTATCTGCACCGTAACCCTCCGGAACCTCGCCGAGTACCTGCACCAGAAACTTCCGTGCACAAGGTATCTGCACCGGAACCCACCGGAACCTCACGAGGTATCTGCACCGAAACCCTCCGGAACCTTGTCCGGAACCTGGTGTTGAAGCTGCACCGGATCACACCGGAGCTAGTCTGGGCTAAAGACCCGATGGCAAAGTTTTGCTGTTGGGGAAAAACGATTCAAAGTCTCCATCCGCCCAGTAACGATGCTGGCACCAGCCATGTACTCACCACGTTTCAAAATGGGCCGATCCTCTTTTTTGTTGGGGTCATGCGTCACCGCAACCTGCAATTTCAAAGAATGCTGGATTGTGATTTCTGTGGTGGCAAGAAAATATTGAAGACAAAATGTGGAATTCGGACATAAAAAGAATGAGTTTGGAAGCACGTCCAAGTCAGGTTTCCAAGTCTGAGTTCCAAAGGGCAGCTACCCAAAATGTTACCGCAAAATCCGACAACCGCTTCAAATTCATCGGCGCCACGTAGACAGAGTAAAGGCTCCCCCCAAAACATAGCAGCGCCCCTGCGATCAGAAATACCCTTGCCTCAGCACCATCAATTCACATTGCCCCATGCAGAACACTATGGTTGATGTGGTGCGCTTGGAAAATTGATAGCGGAAATATGTGGACAATTGCACCAACATCTGCAAACTGTTTGGTAATCAATCAAGAACGTTTCTGAGTTTCTTTTTGTTCCACTGTACAGAAGGTCTCTCGCGGTTTCTTCCGGTATCCATATTCACGCACAGTGATGGACACCAACCAAATTCATGATCGCAAAATGCCCAAAGCCTAATGCGAACTACTACCTGGCAAACTCAGTCTGCTCCTAATCAACCTCCTCCATCTTGGAGGCCTCATCAGCAGCTCCCTCCACTTCCTCAAGTGGAGGCAGGTCGTCATCATCTCCAAGTCCCTCATCATCATCGTCAATGCTCAAGCCAAGCTTGATCATGCGATGGATGCGGCCAGCGAATTGGGTGGGTTCATCCAAATTGAAACCAGATGTGAGGAGCGAGGTGTCGAAGAGCAGCCAAATCAAATCCTTCACGGTCTTGTCCGATTTGTCAGCAGCTGCCTTCTTCCTGAGAAGGGTTTCTTTGTAAGTAATCCCTTCCCCCTAATACTAAGCCCACCAAATAATAAACACCTCAGGTCTATAGTTTTTATTATTAGGGTGGTATTTATTATTAACTAACTATCATTTCCAATTTTTAACGGGGCGTTCTCACTATGAACAAAAACATCCGCCTCACACCACCAAAACAACCACACCACTATCACAACCATCACAACCACCACATGCGGTGCAACGTTCAGGTGGTATACAGGTTGCGTTCCGGATTTGGTATTGTTATATGTTTTGCCCCAATGTTGGTGCCAAACTGTGTCTTTGAGACATTGCCATATGATTTTTTTGAAACAACATGGGACATCAACAAATACACCAAGCAACCACATGAACAAACACAACTAGTAAACTTGCAGTCATACCTAAGCAAACATGGTTGGGGAAGGATTGATTGTTGATCTTCTCGTGGCTCGCGCCCCTTGCCTTCACCTTGGCTCTGCGCAGCACAAGGCACAAAGGTGTCAGACATGTTTGGTTGCGCACAACCGCGCGTGGGTTCCACGCCCGGATGAGTTGGGACATTTGTTGCAGCGAATGGTGGAACAAACGGTTGGGGCGAACCATTGGCACCACGGTTGCAAGCAGTGGTTGGAAAGGATGGTTGCTGCTTGTTTTTTCTTTTCGCAAACAAGTCGTGACCGTTTCCGATCATGGCCGTCGACACCGATCATGGCCGTCGACACCGATCATGGCCGTCGACACTGGGGGGGCGCCGCATGGGGAAAGGTACCATGGGGGTCCATGTTGGGTTCCATGTTGGGTTCCATGTTGGGTTCCATGTTGGGTTCCGTGTTGGGTTCCGTGTTGGGTTCCATGTTGGTTTCCAGCTTTCAGGGTATGGGGGAGGTCACCATGGAAAAGGTACCATGGGGGTCCATGTTGGTTTCCATGCAAGGTCCGTGTTATGTAGTTGGCAGTTACTCTTTTTTGAAAAAAGTCAGCTAAACTTGGAGTTTTGGACATATTATGTTATATATATAATATATAATATATATATATATAGAGAGAGAGCTTTTCTAGATATCATATATCAATTTACGTTGAAACACATATTCGAGTCGTGTGAGTCGGCCACGGGGGGGGGAACAACAGGGGCAGCCTACGGAGAGACAACGGGGGAACACAACGGGGTAAACGGAGAAGGTTACAACGGGGTTCTACAACGAGAAAGCCACAACGAGAAAACCACAACGAGAAAAGGAGAAATGTCAAGTTTAAGGTGGGTAAATGGGAAAAAGTTATCTGTATAACCTATTAAAAATTGAAAAATAATATTAATATATCTATACTTTGAATATATATTTTTGTTTACTCTTTATGTTTCGAATATGTTTTCGATGTGTTTGTAAGATGTGTTGAGGATCTGTTTTGTGTGTGTGTGTTTTTTGACGTGTGCTGTATGTGTTTAAACTTGTCTTCAGAATTTGTACTTTGGAATTCTTCTTGGACAAAATGACTCATTGAGTCAAAAGAGCTATTATGTGGCATCTTACATCCATCAACCACCACAAATTAGAATAATGGTTTCGAATTCCCCGTGTCAGCCGCCATGGCTAACATGGAACTTTTGGATGAGCACTCTCTGGCAGCTTGTGGGGGTCTATGTTAGTATGCCATGCAGCCAAAAATTGTGCAAAAAAATCCAAATTCACCAGCACCAACATGGCACCTACCTGGCACTTATCCCGCTCATGAATTTTAACATGGGTGCGCTAACATGGAACCCTTTTTTTTTTGCCCAACGTTAGTTTTCGGGAGAGTAGTTGCATGAACCCATCCACTATCACTTGCAAGATGTCACGCTTTTGTCTAAAAGACGCAGGGTGTCTTTAAAAAATAGAGCGGGCCCTTGAAGGGGAAACATTTGTCCATAATATGTAGCATGAATTTAACATGATAATGCATTCCTGTTCTAAAATGCAGTATTAAATGCAACGATGAAGTATCCCCTGTTCGTAAAGAAGCAGTTTTTGTTCATGTGCAGTTTTCCGTTGAGAAAGTACAATATTTTTTCAACAAGCAATACCCCCAAAAACTATGGAGGAATCCTCTAACTTCCCTTCCTTCCTCTACTCTTCTCCACTCTTGTCTACTCTACTCTTCCCTTCTATACA